AACGGGACCGACCCGGACGGATTATGAGTTCCCCTTCGAAGACGTTTGCATCAAAGAAAGAACAGCTGAATGACTCAGCAAATCGAAAGGCGGGGGAATATGGTGACGCAGTTGGCGAAGTTCTTCGTGGCCTCATAGAAAAGAGTGTGCAAGGGCCAAGTGGACCACTGGGTTACAAAATCTCTACCAAAACCCTTAGACATCTCTTGCGAACGTTCTGCGAGAGCAACGGTTAGCGCTTCCAGGACATTGTGAATGACGAAGCGGGGCTCAATTTAAGTGCTCTTTTTAAACAGCTTTTGATGGAAATACAAGATATTGCAATGAAAAAGCGTCGCCGTGGTAGCTCGTACAATGGGTCGTCATCCGATCACGGGCTCGAAGTTCCACCCAGGATAACCAGAATGTGGCAGAAATGTTCTACTCCCATTCCCGAGAAGCGAATGCTCACACGGAGCCAGCGGCGAAGAACGTGTAATGTGAAATATTTCAGATTTGGCCGCTTGGAGTTGCAATTTGCAAACACGGTAGGCTTATCTGTCTCAAGCGGCATTCAAGTGAGAGATGTTGCGCTTCTCAGGAACAACCATCGCCCAAGAACATATTGATATCTGGCCGTCGTCGACAAGAACTTTCCAGATGGGAAAGTGCGTGCCTGAACTATTCGACTCGGAAGTCGCGTGAAGAGAAGAAGATCCATTCAACTTCTTTACCGTCTAGAAATTCGACGAAACCGTCGGTTTGACTTTGTTGGGTGAGAGGATATTGAAGAATGGACACGGGACGACGAGGAAGTGAGCAACGGAGTCACGCGGGGGACATGCGCCATGTTCTCATTCTGATAAACCGTTACCATCACGTCAATCGGGTCGTAGTTTCTTGTTCACTGCAGACTGATAAGGTTTTACAGTGGGATCTTTGTCTAGACACTTGCATTCATGTTTCAAGTAGGTGTAAATCAGCGCTGTGTTTGTGTACTTTTTCCACTTGCATTCCGTCTTTGGCGCTTTTTTTCATTTTAACAAAAAAAATCTTAATGTTTAAAAACATTCTACGTCTCTAAATCCCAAACTTTATATGAAAAACTAGAAAAAAAAATAAACTGCGGATTTCCTAAAAGAAATAAATACAGATCTGGGAGCCCCACGTCCCACATAGGGGCTCAGGACTAGCGGTGTATATAATTTGACTAACTTTACACTAATAAATTAGGATATAACTTTTTAGGTTTCGAGTTCATAGCAGGGCAGTCGATCGAATATCGTTCACCCACATTCATGATCGTTTTTTTCTTTTTAATTACCCCATGCCTCCCAGAAGGAACACACTATATAATATTTTACTTTGATTGCGCGTCATTTTTTAATAGTTCTACACTGGGCGAATGGACAACTCGGTTCTAGTTTCTACGAAACAAGGTACAAAGCGCGACTTATCCTTTGGCAGCCGAGCAATACTGCTTTTTTCTGCAATCGTTTTCTTTCTAGATTTTGTAGTACTGTACTGTGTGATGCGTATGTGTTAACAGCTGCAAGGGACGTCCTGCGTTTTTCCAAGGCCACATCATGCCGGATATTACACGCGAACAAAATAACGAAATACAGTTAAAAAAAAATATGCCCTGTATTTTACTCTTCGTTTCTTTCGCGTGTAGCGTCAGGTCATGGGCTGTTTCCAGAAAAACATCACATGATCGCACAGCGCTTGTGATCAGGCAAAAAAAAAAACGTACTGCTCAAAAAGAAGGTTGAATAAAGTATATTATGTACTGTGCGGCTCTTTTTTTATAGTGCGTGCTCTCAAAATGTGTGCCTTGTAGTCCGAAAGCTGATTTAAGGTTCAGTTCACAAAAGAAAGGTAAGCCCAAGAACTTTGCACTCTTTAATCATGCAAAAGACAAACAAAATGTGCAGGAAAGCTAAACGCATTTAGTTTGGAGTCCTCTGAAGCGCGTTAAGAATTATTGAAGAGGCAATTATTTATATTAGATACTTCTTGGTGGTTTTAACTTAGAAGCCAATGCCATCCTCCTTTAAAGTTCTGAAATGTTTAACAGGTCTTTGCGTTGTCGAATATGCCACATAATTATCACACTCCATGATTTTTCTTGTTCTTTCGGAAAGTGAGTGTCAATATTTCTTTTTAGTTCGGCTCCATGGGTCAAGTGGACGTCTTTCTAAGCTGAGAAGGGTGTCAAAGTAAATTATCTATTCGGAAATTACATATCATGATGCTGGATCACTTCGTTTGATCCTTGCCAACCCAAAGTTTTTTCATTTAATATTAGCGAGATTTGACCAAATACATATCCAGATTACATCGAATTAATGGTTAAGCAATCCAAAATAGCAATGCAAGAATTTGTGTAGATCTCAGCCATTTGAACTTTTCTCGCTTGCTCTCATTAGAATCAAGATCTCCGAAAAGATCAAACAAATTGGTCAAATATATTTTGTGTTCTTAGTTGATATTGAATTGCCTGGGTGAGTTTTTTTTATTGTTTTGAGCTAGAATGTTGATTCTCAAAATCTATAAAAGACGAATAAACAACAAAATTACCTCTACCATTTACAGTGCGTATGGTCGGCCGCCCATGAGATATGCGACAGCACTTCATACAGGATGTTGAGCGATCTAGCCAGCTAAGCAGTAGTGTTAACCTGAGGTGTTTCACACAGATCGCACATATGTGATTATGCAAAGTTCATGGTAACGCGAGAATAAAAAAACAGTAAATTCAAAGTTCCCTTTTTATTTATGCGTCTAGTACAGGCACTCCTTTCACGGCACACAGAATTCAAAGCCTCTAGCTGCGTTTAATATTGGTGTTATTGCATTTTCAAGCTGCCAGCTTGCACTACTGCGCGACACTGAGTTTTGACCCACACGTACGTGGTTTGACCAATATTGGAACGGTTTGGGTTGTTGGGACACCAGTTATGAATTCGTCCATATTTTAATAGCTGCGGCATCTGGTCCTTTGTACCTCGGTGCTAATACGCAACCTAAGTCCCCGAGCTGTAACAAACTTGGCCACCAATCCACTTTCCTTGTCACCAAAAGAGCAGATCAGCACAAATATCTGGCATAATGGTCAAGAAACCTTCAGCCGACGAACGTCTAACTCGGTTCACCGGCCATCACCAAAGATAAACTCAAGAAGTGTTTACAACCGTTGAATTAGATTCATTTGGATATACATTTTATTCTGAAATTTGTGCTTGGACTGTATAGTCTGAAAAACGGCACCTGTCATAAATTTTAAATATACTTTCAAGTCTCGCAGGCAAAACGCTAGAGGAACGCCTAACCTGACAAAACTTTGGAAATTCTAGGGGCACACCAAGAAATGAAACCACGTTCTGGCACTTGCTTGGAATTTAGGAAAAACCTTGCCAAGCGAAAGTTAAACAACTAGAAATGAAACCTAATTCTAGCATTTGCCCATGAACAAAGGTGAAAATGAGCCAGGTGACAACCCAAGAACATAGCAGGAAGGCGCCTAATTCCGGTACTTGTTTGCCAATTTAGGGTAAGAATACCCAGACTCTGGGCAGAGAACATTAAGTTTGGTTGCACCTTGGCATTTTTAGGCGTTTAGGTTTTTAAATTTCATACAAAGACAAATTTCGACCCCACCAACTATGAAACTTGGTCATTCATATAAAACGACATCACTGATGGCCATTAATTTAAATCCAAGTATTTTGGCACACATTTCAAATAGTTTGTGTATCTCGCATGCCGTATATACTGGAATGCGTAATTGTCAATAACATTGCTAATAAGTTATAACTTGGTATATCAAATGCCACTGTAATCAAATATTTTGTTCGGCACCCTTCGCGGTATTTTAGTCACGTCAATATCAGGCCACGGTTTAGTACACGTATCATTAAAAAAAGATGAAAGTGAAAGAAACGTTTAATGACAAATATATGGTAAGAGTAGAAATACGGAATTTTTACTTGGCGTACTTCTATTGTAGAGACTTCGTGGTAATAAATGTTGGAAAATTGCTTTATTTGCGTAAATCCCTCCCTTTTAAGTAAGCTAGCATTGGATAAAATATTTTTTCTGATGTTGCACCTCCATATCCTATGGCAAGGAATAATTAATTTTGAACTGATATTTTCTCTCTAAGCGCCCAATTCTCAGTCACGTCAATATCAGGCCACGGTTTAGTACACGTATCATTAAAAAAAGATGAAAAGGGAAAGAAACGTTTAATGACAAATATAAGGTAAGAGTAGAAATACCGACTTTTTATTTGGCGTACTTCTATTTTAGAGACTTCGTGGTAATAAATGTTGGAAAATGGCTTTATTTGCCTAAATCCCTCCCTTATAAGTAAGCTAGCGTTAGATAAAATATTTTTTCTGAGGTTGCACCTCCATATCCTATGCCAAGGAATAATTAATTTTGAACTGATATTTTCTTTCCAAGTGCCCAATTCTCTTTACACGCGGACGCCACGCGTTTGGGCAATGTTTCTTTTTGCTCAGGACTTTTTTCTCTCCTCGTTTAATCTGCATCTTGTACAGCTGATGAATGGATTTCAATGCATAATTAGATAAGTTTGGTCAAAATATTTTGTATTTTATCTGATTCATTTTGCAAGCATATTCTTAGTCCTGATTGTCGTTATATTTCGTCAAATGTCCTATGACTCAAATTGGATCTACTTCTTTTTTGGTATTCTTATATCGACACATCTAAAGCCACACCTGTAAATGTGTACTGAAATAACATACCCAGGTCAAATTTACCTATATTAAATCACACAAATGAGCATCCCATATTCAAGGCAGCATGATACATCGCTGGTTTTAATTTGTATAAATCTATATCGACCGCCAATATTTGTAGATTTCCTGTTAGCTATCTTCGAACCCTTTCTAATGGTTTTCTTTGTATTTTTCAGAACTAGTTCACGATGAAAACAGTCAAGCTGATGATAACACTTTGTTCTTCTCTTCTCGCTATCTGCTACTCCAGCAACCCGACGGAACAATTCCTTAAAGTATGTTGCACTTGTCTTATAGATATTATTCTCCGGGCTTGCAAAGAGAAATATGCTGAATTAAAAGGTTATGGAAGTTATTTACTGTTTATCGGGTGGTCCCGCGGACACGTGCAAGGGTTGCATCGGCACAATAATGAACTGTGTATAGTTGAATAATGAATTGCACTAGATAGCAATAAAAATATCAAAAGCAAGATGAGAAAGTTTTAACCCAATAGGCTTCCTGAATACCGAGTTGACATGGCAACTCGTAGAGGATGCTACATCTCATTTCAATGCGACCTGTATGAGAGGAAACTTTTACGTCAAGACATCGCCGAAAAAAAATAAAAGCTACCACCATCTCTAAGACACCCGATGAATGAAAAACCTTCCCAAAACCATTCTAATTGTATAATGATGCAAGGAAGGTTCAACCCTTTGCATATTTCGTCACCAGTAGATCTACGCTTTGGTGAACTATCAGCAATTTGAAAACTATGGCTGGTTTATGTTCTACGGCTAACACTTTGCACATTTTCTTATGATCGGTAGAACCAACTATAAAGATTACACGTAGGCAACTGAATGTGAACCTTAAATTGCACTCAGGCGCTACTTTGGTATATGTTACGATAATCAAATTGTGCATTTATTGTGTTTAAAGAAATTTAAATATCGGAGTGTCCGTTGCAATATTTCCAAGAAGCACGTTTTACCATACTTTGAAACGCGAAGCTTCTTTTCACCCTTCTACCTCGGAAATGTAATACCGAGACTGACTTTGAGTGTGAACATATTTTGTATGGTTTGCTCGCACCAACGGCGTCGTGGTGCGCCACCTGCAATTCGAGCAGAAAACGATAGCGTAAACATGCAAAAAATATTAAAAGAAACAAGATTGCGCCCCAGCTTTCAGCCGAGGTTGGGTATTTCAATTGTCTGGTGATGTTATTTTTGTCAGTTCTTTACGTCCCTCTCCAGTAGTACAGCATATTTGTTTCTTTGTATTATTTTCAACTTTAAATCTTGTTGCTTTTACTTCGGATAATTTTTGCATAATCATTTTCGACACTGTCCCCACATGAGAATTTTGTGACCATTGATTGGGGAGCGCCGATTTGGTTCTTCTATACTTCTGAGCCATAATAATTTCAACTACATGTAAGTAACACACAATAACATGAAACCGTTGTATGTGAATGTGGCCGTATTAACACGTGTGAATTGTAGCTTGATAATAACACTAAAACGATTGAAATGCATGATAAAAATATATGGCAGTGAATAAAAAAACAATTTGTATCTCTTAAAGTGGTAGAATCTTGATGGGTTTTTTTCCCGTCGTTGATTCAACTTTTTAAGAGTGATTACAGGTAACTATTACACACATGCCTGTTACATGATGGGCTATGTACAGTCGGGGACAAAAGTCTCCAGGACACGCGAGCTGCGGCTGAAACGCATTGCTCTGCCATCTGCCGGCGGGTCGCCTGGTTTCGAGATCACACAAAAGCGCATGCGCGTCCTACTCCGTCTGCAAACATGTGTGTTTTCCCGCTCTTCTGCAAAACAGCGCCTAACTCGGAATCGGGCGCGTGGTACCGCCTCGCAGATAGCGCTGGCGGCTTACGAGCGTCTGCTACACATTCCGAAACACGAGATACCGCCTGGGGCATTGCGCTGCATTTCGCCGTGTCAGCGCACCTTGCTTTATAACCAGTTGATTTTATCGCTCAGTTGAGCTGCCGTGACTTCTTGCTTTATAGGTGCCATGTTAGTAAGCGCTATCTCCGAGGCGATACCCCGCGCCCGACTCCGAGTTAGGCGCCGCGCCGCAGAAGAGCGGGAAAGCGCAGATGTTGGCATGCACAGTAGGACGCGCATGCGCTTTTCTGTGATCTCGAAACCAGGCGACCCGCCGGCAGATGGCAGAACAATGCGTTTCAGTCGCAGCTCGCGTGTCCTGGAGACGTTTGTCCCCGACTGTACATTAAGAAAAATTGATGCTGTTAGAGTAATACTTCTCATGGTTTCTGGAATTCAGCACGTCTTTCCTGTGTTATATAAACTTTGCGAAAACAAGCAGTAAAATGCAGAATCACTACAAAACTTTAATATAGGCGGCCCCAGCGTTTGGGTGCCCCTAAGAAATCGAGGCACCCAAACGCATCAAGATTGAAGCCACCAGCTTATAAAATAGGCCTTTTACGAACGTAGCGCGGCGAACGTGCGTTTCTCGCTTACAGCGCCAATACGGTTAGCAAGAATAATTAAAAAGAAAAGAGAAATTATGAAAAATGCAAAACCTACGCACTTAGTAATTACTTTTTGTTTGCAAATATTAGTTAATGCAAAACCAAATCAACCAGGCTAAACGAAAGACAGTTTAAATCAGTATATATTATCAGGATTGGGCAGACGATGAGGCAGGCGAAAGAGGAAATAACTAAAGATTTAATGGGGCTAACTTGTACCATAAACGAAAAAGAACACACGTCGAGAAAGCAGCAGCAGCGTGCGTCAGCGGCGGCAGCAGCAGGCGACGGTACGTCGGCGTTTCTATCGGGAGAGAAAATTAATCAATGAATCAATCGGCAATACGGCGCACCGCTTCTCATCTACTACGCTCCACATCTGGAATATTCAACCTAAAATGTTCAGGAAAGAGCTACGGCGAGCCTGACTAGGAGAGGTCATTATGGTCTCCTTATCGTTGAAGCTGGGGGCAAGAGCGTAGGCGAATCTTTTAGATGAACGGGGAAGCGTATCTTCGCAGTCATGCACGCGACAATGTATTGTTAGTTGTTTTCAGCCAAAACAATCCGATCCGTAGCACTCTAATTTGGCGCTCGCTCTCGGGCGGATTTCGGCGTTCGTGCGCGGCTTTGAGCGTCTGTCGTGGATGCTTTAAACATTCAACTATGCCAAAACTGAGACGAACGCGAGTGAGCATACTCTGCGAGCAGATGCCTTATTTAGATCTTAGTTGGAGCGACTTTAAAGTCTTGGGAAACTTTTTTTTAAGCCACTGCTAACCGTGCCACGAACGAAATCCACTCGCGGTCTCGTAGTAGCGAGATGCTGCATGTCAACGGTTACCGCTTCTCTTTAGGCTTAAGAGCGGCCAGAAGCTGAAAACGATCCTTAAAATGGGGCGAGCTCACCGCTTATTCTTTGTTATTTGATCGAGATAAAGCGAAGCGAAAGTTGGCTGCACCATTCACTGGTAATAAAAATGGCTTTTACGGCAGTGACCATGACAAATTTCCTCCGAAGCGAGCGGAAAGGGTGCCGCCATGTTTGCCGATGCCACCCGGCCCCAATGAAATAGGCGAGTCCCACACTACTTCTCGAATTTTGCGTTAGGGGTGAGCGCCAACCCAAAACCCAAAACTGAGTTTGAGTTCGACGCATGCCCAGTGAGAGGCCCCTATTTTATGAGGGCCCTCAAGCTCTGGCCCTATTTCTAAAGCTGTCAACTATTCTCACGGCCTTCAATTTTTTTAATATAACGCCAGTAACGTCAGTAAAAATTATTAATCTCCTGGATTTGAAGTCCAAGTACTATAAATGATTTTGCAGTGACTTTGCGGATTTATTTAAGGTGGGGTTGTAAATTGGGCCACTTGTTATCAGTTCAACATAATTAAATACAGCCTCAGTAAACACTGACGACGAACAAGAAACGAACACTCTCTTGTCGGGTTCGTTTCTTGTTCGTAGTCCGTGTTTACTGGGGCTGTATTTCCTCAGATTTACTTCAAATTTGAACTCTCCTTGAATATTATAAATAAAGTCACGTGACGTCTGGTGAAGTTAGACCTGCGAATATCTTAACGAGAAACGTACGTGTGTTTAGGGCGTTTCCTACGAGGAGTCATTAAGAAGTTCCTGCACCAGCAGCACTGAACATTGAGCATTGTACCCCAGCACAACGCCAGGGGATATTTCCGCCAGATTTGCCAGCCAGTCGGCCAAACTTAATTTTGAGGAATCAAAGTGATTCCAAGTTGCGCTTTTATGCTTAGAAAATATATTTTACGGCGCTCACTCCGCTCGAGATGAATAAAAAGCTTCAACGAAATGCCTGAACAAAAGTTTTACTTAAAAATGAATAGCAACACGCCAGAAACCCAGAGACTTCTACGGCAAGCATTTGGTGGCCATGTTCCAAGAAATGCACAAATATGTTAGTGGTGTGGGTTTTTAAGCCATGTCAACAACCACTTGAAGATAATTTCACAAACAGTACGTCTTTAACAACCGTTTATCCTGAAAGAGGTTAAAAAAATGAGCGTATTACTTCATTGAGGCCGTGAGATTAATATTTCGGACGTCTGGTCAAGTCCGCGTCGGCTGTTTCGAGTGACAAATTTAACATGAAACGAATGTCCGCCAGGTGTGTTCCACACATCCTCTCGATCGCGAGAAAAATACAAACATACATTCCAAAGACTTCAAGTACACTTTTTTAACCAGAACAACATAGCTGCAGTCAATCCATATACTCCTTATTTGGCCATTAGTGACCTTTGCATTTCTTTTTTTCTAATGAAGCCTTAAGAGACGGCTTACTCGAGCAGATTCGGGAAAAGACGAGGGTTATCCTGAAAAGCCTGAATTACACGAGGGTTTTCTACAATGGCAGACCTGCTGACCAGCTTTAATCCAGTCAGTACTCATTGGTATGGACTTTATCGTTCCCCCAAGGCATCGTCCATAATGCTAGTCATCCATAATAAAGAGACAAATCTGCGGGTATTCACCAAAATCGTTCTCAAATCTTTGGTTTATAAAACGTGGTTTTAACAGTAACGCGATTCGTTTCAAAGGGCATTGCGGTGTTTCTTTCAGTCCCCAATTTGCCTGAATATTCGCTAAACACGCCAACCAACGTCGCTGAAATAGTAATACAAATATTGGGCAAAAAGAAAAAAAGATGCCCGAACTTATTGAATTTACAATTTTGGTCCTCACCGTGCTTTTTAAAGTGAAAGGCTCCACTGGCAACAATCAAATATTGACGTCAGAGGAACGCAGTGGTTCACTGTTTGGGCTGAAGACTTTGTTCCCAACTGATTACAAACAGTCTCAGTGTGTCAATTTAATGCTTTGGGAAATTCGCTTCAGCTCGCGTGCAGCAGCACGAAACAAATTTTCGGCATAGTCGCCCGCTCGACCAGCAAGCCTTCGTTCCCTTGATGTCACTGCAATGAAAAGCGCGAGTATATATGAATTTTGGTTTCGGCGTTATATGTATGTGCCGATTCCACAATAACTATTCTCAATTTCGCGATACTAAATAACCTCCCGGAAAAAGTAAAGGCCGGCGATTTCAAAAATACAGTTAGTTGCGGTAGCTCAAAAACGTGCCGGACTACCAATTTCGACAAGAGATGGCTGAACCCCTATAAAGGACTACTTTGAGGGGCATAATAGTAAAGTAAACTTGGTAACTTCGTACGTTTCTCTAAAACGAGTTCGAAAACGTTTTGATGCCACCTCGTATTTCGCAGGGCGGCAAATTTATTACAAAGAGGTTTATTTATAAGTAGTTAAAGAGCTGGAGAAAAATAATATACTGGTGATTTTTGTATTCATAATTATTCTACCCAACGTCTTTGTTATTTTATGTTATATGAAAGATACTCGATGAGAAAGACTTAGGTTGATTTACAATTCTAGAGATTTACTTCTAAGCGCAAATTTTATTCAATTTTGTATTCAACGTAAAGCGTTTCGGCATGCACTACGACAGCATAATGCGCATGCAGTAAAAAATCATGTAATCAATTTACGCTCCTTTGTAATCTCAAAGATTCGTTCAGATTAACTTTTTTTTCCTGCATTTAACAGTTGTATATAAATATATTTATTCTAAGGAAGTGTGCTTATTTTGATATTCCAAGGTCGAGCGACCAATGAATTAATCCTGTTAAGGCTTTGATCTAAATAAGGATGTCTCATTCTACTGGTCTAAATACCACTGTTCACTTTTACATTCATTAATGTGGAATGTTCTATTCTTAAGCATCTTAAGGAAGCCTTTTTCGAAGACACATGTTCAAATTTAGTTAGATAAATACACGTGTAATAAGATATCTTAAAGTATAGTATTCAAGCATTAACAAGAAGCAGTAAATTTAAAAAGTGACGCATTGATGTAAATTTAAGGTTCGCGCTATGGAAACGTAGACTAGAATTTTTGAACTGTATAATAAATATTACAGTCAACCATTCTGAAACATCAAGTGGACTCCCGTGGAACCCCTTTTGTGCATGCAATCTAGTCTTACAATAGCATCACCAAACTGAATAAAGAAGATTTCCTAATAGTTATGGTGATCTCGGTGTGAGCTTACACATTAAACGTAAACAATAATCATAGTTTATGTCTATTGTCTGTTATACCAAACTTCATTGAACACTGTGCTATGCAGCTCTGTGAAAGAGCTCAAGTATTGCGCTGAACCCCTAACCTGTGGGCTTTGCTCGACCTTTTTCTAAGGACACGGAAACAAGACCAATCCTTCTCTACGAGTGCTACCAGAGCGGAAACAGTATTGATGCGCCAGGAACCATTAACTTTACTACTCTCTATGACGGCACGAGCCAAGCAACGACACTAATTGAAGGTGTCACGTGGGCAGCAACAAATGGAAGTACTGAATCCTACGTTGTGTACGTATGCACGAATTTCTAATTAAAAATAATGTAACAACTGTAGGCATGTATAGTAAATGTGATTACCTTAAGATTATTAGGAAGAAATATCTGGTGGAGAGTCCGTTTCCGACAATCCGTAACGGTTTATTATACACACTTTAAATTAACTGCAAAGAGACACTGATTAGGCAGATTGATTGCGCCGTCCGGAATGCATGAAATGTGTAATGAGAGTCAAGTGGCAGGGCACATAATATTAAAATAGCCGTCGTCATTGCCTATTTTAAACGTGAATACGCGATCGAATAATATCAATTCTTCTTATAGGTGTACACACGATAGCTCACAACTACTGGTGTTTTTCTAACAATACTTGTGTCGTAATTCAAGGTTCCAAAGTGTGCAGAAAAGCGTAAAATGTATTATCTATTTTAACTACAATGTGAGGACATCAGCCATACAGTAGTTCCGTAGCTCCTCCAGGATTCAATAGATAATACTCAACGTTACGCTGATGGAGAAATTGATTTATTAAACGCTTAAATAAATGTGTGTGTGTTTTTGTTTTAATTTCCAGTGGTGCTTTTCTGGCTCGTTACGATGCGGAGAGAAGTACCGGAGTGATCTATACCTATAGTGAGTAAATAGAAACTAGAGAATTGATTACAGTCACTCACTACAAACTTAGAAGAGCGGGGCGAGGAAACATTGGCAGCTGCTTTTCATAAGGAATCTGTGTTTCAGATGGCGGGGAGATAATCCTCAAAAACGACATAAGTCCATGGACAAATGTGACATTATATTTTACATACCATATTTTGAAGGCAATGTTTTTGTTAGAGCCTTATTTTTCCTTATAACTCAAACGATATAGATGCTTTGTTTACAGGATTTTGACAACTATCAAGTAATAATTTTTTTTGTTTAGAGGATTAAAGACAACGCTTCTTCTGTTGGAGTTGAATCTGTCCGTATAATCAAACAAATATGACAAAAACATATTTAAAGACGTCATGAAACGGTATCGGGTTGAAATGTCAATGACTTTGCAGAGGCGTCTGGTCCAAGTATACTCACACAGTCCGCCACTAATTCAGAAGCTCCTTAGTCGCGGTGTCATTCCGAGGATAAAAGGGGACTATTTCGTAAACTCTAGCCTTCGGAAAGCTTAATGTGGGATCAAAGCCTCCCACCTAACGACAGTCGAGCGCGGTCCATGGATTGGACACGAAAACTGCGTGACCACTCGACTTCGGCTAGTAACGACCAATGCCACCTCTTTTACTTTCCTAACCCCAGCGGGTGGCTCTGATTAACGTTGGCAGGGCCTTCAGGTCTATATGGACTAACCACTTTAATTGTTACCGAATCGTCCAGCATCTGGTAAACAGAACCAACCACGGTTCACAAGCTTCCTCCTAAGCGCCTTCCGCTAACGTCCAAAAAAAGAAAGAAAAAACACTGTAAATCCCGGTCAATCTGGCGATCTTCTGGTAAATTCTGGATTTACTGGAAGTGAAAAAGTCCCAAAATCCAGTAAAATAGATTTTTACTGGAATTAACTTCCGGTAAAAATCTGGTGACATTATGGTAAAATATTTGGTGGCATTCCGGTAAAAACCCGGTAGAGTTCCGGTAAAACTCCGGTGACATTCCAGTAAAACAACCGGTGACGTTTTAGTAAAAAATCGGCGACAATCCAGTAAACTACGGCTTTACTGGAAGTGAAAACAGTCCCATAATCCAGTAAAATAGACTTTTACTGGAAATGACATTCCGGTGAAAAAATATTTTTTAATAGGGTAGGATAAGCACCAGGCCACGTAGCCGCTTGATCTAGCTCCGAGTTGGGGGGATCAACGATACTTATATGTCTCGAATGCTTTTGCCGACTGCCACTGCATAAAAAGAAAAACCAACATAAGTTTATTCAGTTATTAATGTTACAGAATGAATCTACGTAGAATTTAGCGAAATTACAAACCGTTTTCGATGGCTCCTTTAAGCTAAATTTAGTACAGTTTAAATATTTTAGGTGTATAAGTGCAGCGTGCGTTAGGGACACATCTATACCAGGTGTTTCTGCGAAGACTTTCAAAAACTCCTAAAAGTAGTGTATTTGATTTTTGGAAAAAAAACGTAAGCCACACCGAACATCGGAAATTTAATAAACATACTAATTTGCAAGCTATGTACAATTTAATAATTACTCCTAATTAGTGAAAATAAACAGATATTCTAAGTTAGACATTTGCTGTGCGTCATCGGAAACCGCTAGAATCAGTCAGTTTTAGGATGACCTGAAGAACGCGAAATTTAACACTCGTGCGGCAGACGGAAGGCCACTTATCTAAAGCGCAGATGATATTCTGATCGCTCGTGTTATCGCGGCCCCGGCGGACTTTTTTTATTACATCACGAATTTAATTGTGGGCCGATGCAAACTTGTGGTGGATAAGAAACTATATAGAATTGGCTTAAATTTCAACTTGTTTATTGTCCCAAAATGAAGGCCACAGCGACCCGCTATGCTATTTAAAGGTTTCGCGTTGGTAAGGTCTATTTCTAAAGGAGAAACTTATCTTTGTTCAGTCCCTAATTATTCAGTTATACTCAGCTTCCATATTTCTGCAAAACAAATGTAGCACATATAACACCTCTATGTTCATATACACCGCGATATGTTGGAGAATCACGTGGGGAAACAGCTAGAACACTAAATGATTACACAGAGACAGGAGTGGACACACACAAAGCTGACTATCTACAATTCTTTAGTATTTGATCTTCCTCTCTCCTCGGTCTAGTCTTCTTCCTCATCTATTTCACAGACAAACACACACACACACGCACAAACACAAACACAAACGCACGCGCGCGCTCACACACGCACGCACGCACGCATGCACTCGTGTACACACACGCGTACAAACACACAAACGCGCGCACCACGCACGCACACACACACGCACACACACACACATTGATAAAACAAGGAATACATCGCAGAATAGAAAGCAATACGAATGCAAATATGTTCCAAAAGTCAGGGTAGCCATATTGAAATAAGTTTACTTTGGCTTAACAACACAAAAATAACAACAACACAGCCGTTTCGCCACCTATCCGGGTGGCATCATCAGTATGCACTGGCCCGGGGGTAGGGAAAGTCTAAACCAGTCCACTCTAATCCAACAGGTCCCCGTAAACGTCCTGCAGGGGGCCACGGTTTGTAGTGCAGGCCTTGGGGTCAAGGCAAATAAACCACGATTCCACGAGCTTCCTCTGGTCCTAACGCTGCTCACGAACCAAGGTTGCCGCATTGTCAAAGCCAAAGGTATGCCCAGTCGTCCAGCGATGGTCCACGAGCTCGGATTTACTTCTCGTGGCCGTGCGTGGCCTTTACCACATTCTTCCTGTACTCCCTAAGGCGGGTGCTTCTTCGTCTGCCGGTTTCTCCAATGTACGTGGCGTCGCAGTCAACACAGTTCACCTTGTAAACCACACCTGTCTGGGCGTTGGCAGGGGTAATGTCTTTCGGCTTGGAAAACGCGTTCGCCAAAGTGTACACAGGCTTGAACAGAGTCCACATGCCCAAAGGGGTCAAAGCTTTTCGAATCGAGCCCGAGGTTCCCCGGACATAGGGAATACACACTGCCGACTTCCTTTTGCATTCAATGTCCACTCTGCACTGTTGCATGCGCTTCCGCGTGTCACTTATGAAGGATCCTGGATAATTGCGCCTGCCCAAGGAAGTGGACATCCTTGTCAGTTCTCGGGATCGGAGATAACCTAAAGGTTATCTCCGCTTCTCCTGAAAAAGCTGAACATGCATGCTTTCCACTTGCCGGTGTATAGTATTCATACGGCTATCCCGTTCACGTGTGAAACTGAAAAAGATTGTGTGCTGCCGTTTGTGGGCGTATTGATGCGCCGGGTGGGTTGTGGTGCCGTAGAGACTGAAGTGTACCGTAAACCTTGTGACAGCGGAAATGTTTTGTGGTTTGATTCCCATCGCTCGGCGAAACACAAGCGCGCCGTGGTACGGACTCAGTTGTCGTGTTGCGTTGTGTTGTCTCCGAATGATGATCTCCGGTCCCGAGAACTGACAAGGATCCTTCCTTCCTTGGGCAGGCGCAGTTATTCAGGATCTTTCATAAGTGAGACACGTAATCGCATGCAACAGTGCGGAGTAAACATTGGAGGCAAAAGAAAGTCACCAGTGTGCATTCCCTATGTCCGAGGAACCTCGGACTCGATCTGAAGAGCTTTGAGCTATTTGGGCATCTGGACTGTGTTCAAGCCTGTGCGCACTTTGGCGAACGCGTTTTCCAAGCTGAAAAACATTACCCCCGCCAACGCCCAGACAGGTGTGGTTTACAAGGTACGGAGGGGAAAATAAATGTTTTCCCCTCCGTACCTTGTTGGTACGGAGGGGAAAATAAATAAGAAGCTTGTTGGTACGGAGGGGATTTGGAGCCGGCACGCTTGGCGACATGCAGCTAACACTACTGTTGTTCACGCAGGTTCTTACGTCATCCAGAGCAACTGCTCCGCTCGGCGCGGTCACTAAAGGGGATGCTTTTCCGTACGTACCCGAACCTTCTGCGACGGTTATCACCGGACTGCACGTGCCGCCGGGCATCGCCGAAGAGGATCTGCCAGTCATCACCGACTGCGACGGCTCCTTCGATAAGTCGATCGTCGTACTGGATTTGCCAATCTTCTTCGAGCAAGGGACACCACGTGTCTTCGTCGATGGCTATATAGGCGCACGGCACTTTGACTGCGTGGGATTTGGAGCCGGCACGCTTGGCGACATGCAGCTAACACTACTGTTGTTCACGCAGGTTAGTCCTTACAGTCCTATCTGTGTTCGAAAGTCCCTGTTTGCGTTGCCGGCTCCTCCCACGTCAAGTGCTGATACCTTCTGTGGCAGACGATTGAGACTGCGTATATCTCGCAAATATTTTCGCCTCTTTGCACATCGAGTACTTTACCTGTTTCTCTTGTTGCTACTTTCCGGGGATGTAGAACTTAACCCTGGCCCCCTTGACGCAGTAGAAATTGACCTTCTTAAAAGTTTGCAGAGCGGTCAGGCTTCCATTATGAGTAAGCTGGACGCTATCGACCGTAGGTTTAAGAAGCATGAAAACATGATCGAGGAAATAAATAAGAAGCTTGTTGGTACGGAGGGGAAAATCGGGGTCGTTAATCAATTAGTAACAGAACAAGCAAAGCTAATTGAGCTTTTGGCAAGACAAATTAACGAATTGGAAAACAGGAATGTTGATCTAGAAAACAGAAGTCGTAGGCAAAACCTTGTTTTCTATGGTGTGGATGACACGAATAACAAAGAAACATGGAATGAATCTGAAAATCTCATTAAAAGTATCTGTAAAGACAAGCTCGGTGTGGACCTAAAAACGGTGCAAAGGGCGCACCGTGTAGGTCGCTATAATGAGAACTTTAAACGACCAATCATCGTTAATTTTGCCTCCTACAAGGAAAAACAGGATATTCTGTCTAACGCCAAAACAAATCAAGGGATCAAACTACAGTGTAGACCAAGATTACTCGCCGAAAACCCGTGAAATTCGAAAGAAACTTTGGGAATATGCTAAAACAAAAAAGCGGATAGTGGCAACCGTGTAAAGCTAAACTTTGATAAGCTCATCGTAAA